CTGAGGTAATGAAGCTCCAGTAAGTTCCCAATCTCAGACGGTATGGCTCCAATGAACTGATTGCTGCTCATGTCCAAGAAAACCAAGCTTGACAAATCTCCTATGGAGGGAGGGATTGATCCTGTGAAGTTGTTCCCACTGATGTTGAAATGCTTGAGGCTTGTAAAAGAAGTGAATTTGAGCTGTTCAAGGGTCCCAGATATGCCTTCATTAGAAAGGTTGATTTTTGAAATAGCCCCGTCATTATTGCATACAATGCCCTTCCATTTACGAAGATGTGTTATGTTGGAAAGTGACCATGAATGGAGTGAAGAAGATGCAGACAATGAGAACAGGCTGCTCTTCCATTTGAGTAGAGCTTCTGCTTCTTCTGTTCTTGTCTCTAATGCAGCGTAACAAGGAATGAGAAGAAAGATGAGTGCTGTATACTTCCCATCAAATGTTGTCATTCTTTTAATGAATGCTTCACAAGATCAATTTTACATGTGATGACCCGAAGAAAGTTTTTCTTTTTAATCGTCTTTCGTGGCAACAACAAAAAAGCTATCCTTATTTTCAAAAGGTTTTGAAAAATTGAATGGACACACTTTTCAAAAGAGAGACTTCACGAAAGCATTGGAGGGGTCTGCAGAAGCATCATTCTGCTTTCATATTTTTCCTTCTTTTAGTTTTGGTTCATCCACTTTCATCCCTCATTATCCGCGTGATTTCCCCCTTTTCCCATTTTTGCCTTTGCTTATTTTCAATTTATTCAACTCTTTCACTTTCAGGTATCATAGTTTTATTTATTCTTTACATTTTATGCCATATGAATATGCTGTCTTTTAATGCCACACCAAATATTTATAGGTATCCAATTGCATATTTTGGAGCGGGACAACAGTTTTTCTTTGCAAGTCATCGTTTCCAAGAGCTGCTGCGATGAGCCGTTGACTAGTACAAGTTTTTCCTTCAATCTCATTCTCTGGATGATAACTTTGTTTAATAAAATCAATTATTGTGGAAAATAATGTGTTCAAAAAATATTACAAAGTGCTTAGTGTAGGTGTGATATCTTTGATAAAGTATCTCTTGGTCCTCGGTTAAATGCAGTTCTTGAAGAAGAAAAAAAGATAAAAGCATGAGTGGGTACATCATGGGGTTTTAAAACTTTCTAATTTTTTGAAGAGTCCATTTGGTAAAATCCAACACTCAGTTCAACTGTTATATACTCAATCTCACTGAACATATTTATTTGCCCATTTCTAGTGATTATTCATTACATGTCATGCCCGAAACTAGGCTTGGACTCGGGTCGGGCCACCCGGCCCGTGGACCGGCCCGGCCCGCTACTGTGCGGGACCGGGACCGGCCTGGTTCTCGGGTCCGGGTCCGGGTCGGGCTTAGGCCCGGGGGGGTAGGGCGGGTCCGGGCTCGGGTCTCAATTTTGGTGAACCGGCCGGGTCGGGCCCGGGCCCGGGCCAAATTGAATTTTTTTTATTTTTTTTCATTTTTGGGGTTCCACCCGGGTTGGGCTTGATGGGTAGGATGGGTTTGGGGTGTTTGGGAGGGTGGGGGGTGAGGGGGGGGGGGGTTAGGAAAGCAAAAAAAAAAAAAAATCCAAACCGGAGGCCCGGCCCGGACCCGGTGGGTACCCGAGCCGGTCCCGGGTCCACCATTCTTGAACCGCCGGCCCGCCCGGGCCTACGCCCGACCCGGACCCGGCCCGGACCCGAGTCCACCCCTACCCGAAACAATTGGATCCTCTCTAGTTACCGGAGACCAGAGAGTTCTATTAGGAGAGATATAGAGAGTAGAAAATTAAGGGTGAGATAGGTTGGTGAGTAGTATAGGGAAAAAGGTAGAGATGGATAGAAAGTAAAAAAAGAAAAGGAGGGGAAATAGAGAGAAAGAAATGGAGATGAGCTGAACCCTCCAAAAAGGTTGAATTAAAAAAATAAGCGCTTCTTGGACTTTTTGCTTAAAAAAGTTAAAATTGGTTTTTCAAGTGAAAATTTCTTATTTAAATTAAACAATTAAAAGCTAGAAGTTATTTAAATTAGTTTTTCAAGTAAAACTACTTTTTACTTTTTTATGACACAAAAACACATATTTTATAAAATATTATCAATTTTTACTTTTCAAGATCAATTTTCTCTCAAAAGTTATCAACTTTTATTATTAAACATTTTTCCAAAATTACTTTAAAAGTCACTTTTTAAACCAAAAGCAATTGCAAACACTTCCTTATAGTTTTAGCCCAAACTTAACTAAATCGGTCTTCTTTTTTAGTATCCCGTGATTCTGAGTTCTTGACTTCGGTTGTTTTTACTTGGACTGTAATTCGTCCAGACCAGACCAAAACAGACCAGACCATACCATACCAGACCAGACCATATTTATTATTATTATTATTATTATTATTATTATTATTATTATTATTATTATTATTATTATTATTATTATTATTATTAGGGGTGTGCACCGGTTCAAAACCGGACCGGACCGGACCGAACCGAACCGGATATCATTCCGGTTCGATCCGGTTCCGGTTTTTCCGGTCCGGTTCTATCCAGTTTTCCGGTTTAAACCGGCTAGTGCACACCCCTAATTATTATTATTATTATTATTATTATTATTATTATTATTATTATTATTAGGGGTGTGCACCGGTTCAAAAATTGGACCAGACCGTACCGAACCGGACCGGATATCATTCCGGTTCAATCCGGTTCCAGGTTTTCCGGTCTGATTCGGTCCGGTTCAGTCCGGTTTTCTGATTTAAACCGGATAGTGCACACCCTTTATTATTATTATTATTGTTGTTGTTGTTGTTATTGTTATTATTATTATTGTTATTGTTATTGCTATTGTTACTTATAATTCTAAATGAATAAAATATAATTATTTATGGATTATAATATATATAAAAAATAAATCTTTATGCAAAAAATATAAAAAATAAAATTACTGACCAGACTAGACCAGACCAGACCAAAATCTATCGTTCATAGTCTCCTAATAGAACTCTCTGGTCTCCTATATTATGGATTATAATATATTATAATTAAACCACGGTTACCCAACCAATTTCTCTCTATCGTTCATAGTCTTTGTCTGCGAGCCTCTACCTACGAGCTTGGGATTTGAATATCTTATTCCTTTTGCCTCATGGCCCTAGCCTACAATTTGACCAATTTCTCTGTCTCTATGGGATGCCCTCCCGACTGACGCCATCAATTGCAAGTGCTCTCCTGATTGAAGGTGTCGCACTGATTTCTCCGGCGATGATAGGTAAACCTCCTCTTCCTCCCCCTCCTCCGTTTTCTTCTTCTTTAGATTTTAATTTTATTTATTGGAAAAACTATCAAATAAGCCCTCGTACTATACCGAAAAAGTCGATTAGGCCCTCGTACTTTACAAACACTCAATTAAGTCCTCGAACTATTAAAAAACGTTCAATTAAGCCCTTTCGGTCGGTAAGTAACCGGTTTCCCGGTTAAATGTAACCTGTTTCCTGAAAGCCGTTGTTGTTGGAGTTCGAGCACATCGTCGCCATCGTCGTTGTTTAACCGGGAAATCGGTTACTTACCCACCAAAAGGGCTTAATTGAACGTTTTTTAATAGTTTGAGGACTTAATTGAGTGTTTGTAAAGTACGAGGGCCTAATCGACTTTTTCGGTATAGTACGGGGGCTTATTTGATAGTTTTCCCTTATTTATTTCATTAATAACTTTGATTAATTTGAAACCTCAGAATGTCATAAATACAAGTAATTAGAAAAATGTCACTTGTATGACATTACATAAAGCTGACAATATAACTTTGAAATTACAAAACTTTAGAATGCCATGTTTTTTGCCATTAGACAAAATAATGCCAGTTCTATATCACTAACTTTATAAGGATGTAATTTTCTTACTAAATTTCATTTTTGTTTTTCTTCCCATTGCTTGAATTCTTTATTTAAATCACCATTATTTTATTTTAATAATGTCAAAATTCGGATGAAAATGCATCAAATTTAATCTAAGAAATACTTACTTGATTTGGTAGTGCCACAGTTTTTATAATAAAAAGGTCATTATTGTGTCATTTCCAACAACATAGCAATCTTGTCGAAGATAGGAAATCGACTTGCCGGAAAGTGGTAGCGTCGACTGGTGGTGGGATGTGGTGGCGGTTTGGCCGAAAGACGACGACCGTGGTGCGGTGGTTGTTTGCTGGAGCATACATGGTTGTGGCACAATTGCTTGAGGATGGTTGCGGGCTTGCAGCACACACCTAGAGGATGGCTGAGATGCGTAGCTATTGTCCTGCAGTTGTCATTAAAGCTATTTTTTGTCGAAAATACACATAATTACTCTTGTTTAGGGAATTTAAAATAATAGGACCTTGGAATTTTCACTTCCAAAATCAAATGCAACCTCCTTAAAGAGAAGTGAATTCGAGTCCTTAGAAAATCTTTAGGTTCTCAATGCAGCTTGCTAGCTCCTAAGACAAAGCACTGATTGCGGGACAACTCAAGCTAACCCCCAAGAGATCATCACTTGAGAAAATTCTCTTAAGTTCACTTCCTTAATGTCTTGAATCCAAGACATCCCACATGGGGAATATTTTAAATGTGAGATTCTTGTCAATAAAGGCTGAATGTTGATCCGTTCAAAGGTCTGACTCTACTCTATAAAATCTTGAAATAATGACAAATATATGATTGAATTAAACGTATTGAATAAAAGTATGATTATTTATATTTTAGCGACTATTATAGTAACTTTAGTGACTATGATTGTGTTCAACATTACACTATAGTGATTATGCATAGTAACTACAGAAATATTTGTGCTCACGAGTTATGTTTCAGTAATATTTAAGGAAAAAACTCTAAAATCTTTGCATTGATGTTTTCTTTTAATTATACAATTTATTTTCTTTATATGAGTTTTGAATATTTTTTTTGCAATAAAAAGATTTAACTAGCATTGATCAAATCATTGTCCAATACAGAGAGAATAAAGGATGGAGGAGTGAGTATAAAGCCAAGATTGCAAATCAGACATAGAACAAGCAGCTCTAGCAATGATATGAGCTAGCTTGTTCGCTGATCGCCCAACATAAGAAAACGAAATACTAGAAAAATGTTTCGCAATATCTCTAATATCTTCAACAATTAAACCCACAGAAGAGCAGCTTGAGCCATTAATAATCTCCGAGATAGCACGAGATGCGTCAGATTCAATTTCAACATTGGACCTCTCCAAATTCAGTAGCCATCTAAGAGCTTCTCTAATCCCCATCAATTCAGCTTCCAACGGCGACAAACTCCCAAACCATGGTTGAGCAGCCCCAACCACGAACCTACCCTCTTCATCTCGTAAGCACCACCCGAACCCACAAGAGTCTGCACGGACAGCACCATCCAACCACGAAAGCTTCCGCTTTGAGCATAACCTGTCGTGGTAAAGAGGATGTGTTCCGCCAGACTCGACGATTCCTTTCGCACCAAATCCCCCAACAGCCCCAAATCATTTTCATCAAATCCTTCTTCCTCCGAAGCTGAAATTCTTGCTGCACCTGTTCCAAGAAGTGGCTGGCACCAGAATCAGTCCAACTCCACGCCACCTTCGACCAAGCTTCCTTTGCTACAGCACAGTCCAAAAAAATATGAGACAAAGATTCCTCTGTAGTACCACACAAACCGCACTGATCCGAACAGTCCACCCGACGAGAACACAAGTTCTCCTTCGTCGGGAGACACCCGCTGCACACCTTCGTCTGAATCAGACCAACATCCCTACTGTCAAACAAATCCCTCAGAACATCCATATCCCATGCCTTCCCAGATTCGTCCATTAAATTTGCAACCACCGTTTGTTCTAACCCCAATCCAACATCAGAGATAACCCTAGGATTCTCCCTATCAGGTAACCAAGGATCTTCCCAAATTTTAATGGATTTACCATCCCCTACCCTCCATTTGTAACCCCCTTTAATAATTTCTTGGGTCTCAAATAAACTTCTCCAAATAAATGAGGGATTATAACCCAGGGAGGCAGACAAAAAATCCCCTTTAGGATAGCAGCGGGCCTTAAACACTCTACTAACTAGCGACCCGGGGTTAGTGAAAATTCTCCAGGCTTGCTTAGCTAACATAGCTAGATTGAACTCCTTTAACCTCCTAAACCCCATTCCCCCGGCCTTTTTTAGTTTACTTAAAGAAGCCCAATCCTTCCACCGGATGCCCTTCCCAGACTTACCTTTCCACCAGTAACCGTTCATTAAAACTTCAATCTCCCGACATAATTCATTGGGCAGTAAAAAAACATTCATAGTGTATGTAGGCATAGCTTGGATAACAGATTTTAAAAGAACCTCCCGCCCCGCTTTTGACAAGAAATTATTGTTCCAGTTATGGATGCGATAAACCACCCTCTGTCTAATATAACTCAAAATTTCCGTCTTCCCTCTCCCAACCAGAGTCGGTAACCCCAAATACCTCTCATCCTTCCCAGCCAACTCCACCCCAAGCAGACGAGTCAGACCCTCCTTGCAATCATCCCAAACATTAGAACTGAAAAAGACTTTGGATTTATTAAAATTAATTACCTGACCCGAAGCCCCTTCATAATCTGCTAAAGTTTCTTTGACAAGAGCAGCCTCATCATGTGTAATAGCTCAAAAAAAATAGCAGACTACCATCTGCAAAAACAAGTGAGAAATCATCGACGCTCCACGAGCAATCGTAGCTCCATGAATACGACCCGAGGACTCATATCTACGAAGGAGTGCACTAAGGCCTTCTACAACTAGAAGAAACAAGTATGGCGATAGGGGATTCTCATCGCCAAAAGGAATGGAATACGAAACAGAAGTGACAAACTCCATCACTAACCGCACCCACCTTTCTTCAAAACCCAAATGCCGCATCATCCCTTCCTAAAAAGGTCATTCAACTCTGTCATATGCCTTACTCATATCTAGCTTAAGAGCTACCAACCCAGTCTTACCCTGACGCTTCCGTTTTAAAAAATGTTGGGATTCGAAAGCCAAAATAATATTATCCACAATATGTCTACCTGGAATAAAAGCACTCTGCTGTTCTGAGATACACAGGTGAAGCCATTTTTTCATTCTATTAGCCAGAAGCTTAGAGAAAATCTTATAAATCACATTACAGAGGGCTATAGGTCTCCAGTCACCAATAACCTCCGATTTGTCTTTTTTCAAGATTAATCCAATATTCGTATGATTAATTTTTTAAGGGAGTTTACCTGTTTTGAAAACTTCCTTGCAAAAATTAATCGCATCCGGACCTACCACGTCCGAGTAATGTTGATAAAATCCTGGGCTCAACCCATTCGGCCCTGGCGACTTGTCTCGAAACATATGCTGATAAACTTCCTTGCATAAATTAATCGCGTTTTTTAGTCATCCCTCCATCTGCATGTGAAGAGATTTCCACCATCCCTTCCCCGTCGGCCGGAACACCTGCTGCAGCAACACTTGGAGGGCTGCCGTACAAGAAATTTCCTTCCCCATCCACAAGCCATCTGCTCCCCCTGTTCGAACTGCCCTTTCTGCTCCCGGCTCTTAACCAAGGCCCATAAGTTCTTTCCTTTCCGCCTTCCACATATTCAAAACGCCCAGAACACATGCGATCAACATGGTTCATTAAGCCGCATATGAAGCAAAAATGCGGTAATCTCTCGTATTTTAGATCAACCCAAATAGGTTCCCCTCCGCGTTTCAGTTTCACCCGCCGTTTCAGAGGAGCCTCAACATCAAGCGACACTTGGATTCACATAAACTCCTTATAACAACCCTTGAAATTCTGCTCATCAACTGACACAAAGCGTCCCATTTGATCCCCAATTATCTGGGCAACCCTCTTCGTAAACAACTAGAAGGGTAGGTTGTATGCTTGAACCCAAAAATCTGAGCGTGAAAGTGATACCTGAATAGGGTTTTCAGCCGATTGCAGGGTATGCAAAACCAAAAGCGCGTTCTCAAAGCACCACGGCCCATCTACCGAAATCCTCTCAAAATCACATTCATTATAGAACTGGAACAACAGTCTGCGATCCCCAATTTCACGGATGTTCACCCCTCCTCCCGGCCACCAAACGTCAGCCATGGTATCTCGAAAATAAGGAAATTTAAAAGGCTTATCTGTGAGTAATTTCCCTATCATGCATAAGGGCTTCCCCGCTGGTACCTCCTCCTGTACAAGCTCATCCAAGTCCACTCCATCCTCGTCGTCATCCTCTAAACTCATACGGGCATAAAGATTTTCCATGTCATCCGCCATGCAGTCGCTAAGCAGCCAAATTGACGTGAGAAAGAAAGACTACGTAAAAAGGAAAAAACGGCGCACAATCCTAGAAACCTACGTATTTTTGGTACGCCACCCTTTTTGGTAAACCAACAAATTTTTTATTTCATATACTACCTACCTCCGTTCTCTTTTAATTGCAACATTGGACTTTTTACACTATTCACATATTCTACTTTGACTATATTTTATTTATTAATGTATTATAAATTAAATTTTTAAAAAAATAATGTTAAATTCTTCACATTCTAAATTTTCGAAATCTGAATTTTTTAATTTTTTTACTAATAAGGAACGAAAGATGTTAATGGTCAAACTTGTGCATTGACAAACGTGAAATGTTGACTGTTGCAATTAAAAGAGAACGGAGGAAGTGTTAGATCTTTTAGCTGAAATATTACTGTTTTGAAATGTATTTTATCACATACATCAAAATTAATCTTACTATGTGCATGAATACAATGTCAATATCTCTTTGATTACAGTTGTGGATTTCTTTTTAGTGCCACAGTGTTAGCATTAGGGAGTTTATGCTAAAAGTTCAACCGATATCAGAACTTGTTTTTATGTGATATATATTTATTCTATATACATTTGGAATTTTTTAATGGGCATTTTATCTATGACTTGACATTTTATAGGCAAAAATTGCAAGTGCTAATGTTTTTTAAAACCGACATTTTTGTCTCAGACCTAAGCCCTAACTTTAGTGACAAAATATTTAGGAGTAAAAGATTTTGAAAATGTGTACAAACATGTATAATCTTTTGTATATTTTTTGTTTACATTTTCAGAAAAACATCGTACCAAAATTTTTAATTTGTAAAGCAAACGATAAACATCGAGTCATACTCCTCTCCATTTCCTTCTCTTCGTTTACTCTCTCCATTTCTTTTTCACTCTATCTGTCTCCTTAAAAATAATAATTAAATCCGATCTTTTCTTTCTACATATCCCATCACTTCCACATCTCACTCTATCTCTCTCCTAATGGAGAATTCCAATTACCGGAGAGGAGCTAAATTCATAAACATCGGTTGGAAAAATTCACTTTTTGAAACAATAATGTGTGGCACAAAAGTGTACAATTTTTCAACCGTGTTGAAATTTATTGCCTATAAAATTAGACTTGTCGAATCGACTTTTTTTTTTGTCTACGACCTATCTTTACCAACAACTTCACAATTAAAAATGTGAGCAAAAAGTATTTGGACTGCAATTTTTTTCACCTAATCAAATTTCTTTTTGTCTATGCTAGATTATTATTGTCCATAAGATATGATTTTGTATAGCCAATTTTTTTTGTCTATCGTAACTTGAGAGACAAAACTTTAGGTGCGAAGTATTTTGAAAATGTGTACAAATGCGTATAAATTTTTTCCCGTGTCTGAAGTTAAAACTTATATAGCACGGTGATGGATTATAGGATATCCAAACATACTCCCTCCGGTTCTAAAAGATCTTTACACTTTCCATTTTTAGCAATACCAGAAACATCTTTACGCTTCCTTATTTGCCTTATTTGACAAATAAATCTACACAAAACAGTGTCACACAGTGTCAAACAGTGTCAAACAGTGCCAAACAGTGCCAATTTCCTTAAAAACTGTGAAGTCAAAGTGTCAAGATCTTTTGGAACCGGAGGGTGATAGAGTATATATCTAGAGAGAAGTGAGAGCTAGAGAGAGAAGTGCAAGAAATGCTTCAATAGAATGAATTTGTAACCCTGCCAGGCCGACGCTCACCAATCCGCCCTGCCATCCTCTCCGAAACCGGACGACGGCGGGTGCTTGGTAGCGACGAAGGGTGCTAACTTGATTGTTCTAGCTCTCAATGAAAGCACCAAATGATAGAGTATATATCTAGAGAGAAGTGAGAGCTAGAGAGAGAAGTGCAAGAAATGCTTCAATAGAATGAATTTGTAACCCTGATAACTACCTCCAGAGGAAGTATTTATAGGGAAAATACGGGTTGGGCTCCCAAGTCTTGGGCTTGGGAGACCCATTTACAACTGGACCGCTATTGGGCCGAATACAAAGCCACTGGTGGGCTATACAAATAAATAAGTATAAAATCCGGTTCTGTGAGACTTCCGTGGCCGACGAGGGTCTTGGCCGACGAGGGCACGGCCGACGAGGACACCCTGATTCCTTGGCTTCAGGATCATATTCTGAGTTGGTCCTTCTTCTGGCCGACGAGGGTCTTTGGCCGACGAGGGCACCGCGTAGCGGCTGTGCTTTCTGTTCTGAGTATGTGGGTCATGGGGCCTAGACCCATATACTCCATCAGAGGGAGTATATTTTTAGGAGACTTGAGCTAATAGATGGAAAAGAAGATGAATGGTATATTGTGTATGAATTGATTAAATAAGGTATTAGGATTGCAATGTCTCCATAAGGAGTATACATAGAGAAAGAGAGAGCGGCCGGACCGCTAATATGGGTCACCCAAATATGTAAAATGCTAATCTAGTAGATACAATGTATAATAAAATGTACAATAATAGTCGTGAGACCAGAGGTCATACTATAATCACTATATATACTTTACCAGGAGTCCCCCACTCTCTGAGGCGAGAGTACTCGAGGTGAAAGGGAGTAGAGCTATGTGCTGATCTGTTGTCGTCTGGTGAGTAAACTCAGCGGCGCCTCGCTCGGATTCCCAAGCCGATGATCCGATCTCATTGGCGAGCCCCAACAGAGACCATCACCACCGGTCTAACCGGTCTATGGGCCGAGGGGCTATGCGTGTGTACTTGCTGTTGTGGCAACTGAATCTGCATATGATGAGATGATGTCGTCGGTGCGTGAGGCAAATCTTGTGAAAAAATAGAATTTGTATTTCTTCGATTAACGGAGGCACTGAGTCCTCCGCCCTTCCGGTCCCCACTCCTTGAGGCGAGTGTAGTGAGATGAAGAGGAGTAGTAAAGTAGTGCATATCTCGTGGTGTCTTCAATAGGGACCGATGGTCGACACATTTTGTCCACAATGAGGAGATGCCTCGCTGAAAACCTCACTAGGAAAAAACCTTGTGGGAAAAATCCTAATGAGGGAAAAAGAGTATATCGGATGCCCCCAAAATGGAATAAAAAGGGTGAGCCCTTCGGCCTAGGTGTGGAGTTGCAACGGCTGCCATCTGCTGAGGGGATGACTGAAATCGGTCTTCGAACTGAGTAGCTCGGCATGATAAGTAATGGGTTTGAATATTGTTGGTGGGTGCAAGGAGATAAACAAAGTATTTTGTTTTTTAATTTAATAAATACTTAAGGGTATTATTGTACTTCAACAAAATATTACATCTAAGATCATTTTTTATCAAACACTCTCACTTTAACTTTTTCAATATAATCACTTCTATTCTAACACTCAACTTTTCCTAAAAATCATTTTCTCTAAAATCACTTTAAAAAATCACTTTAAAAAATCACTTTTTTAAAGTAAAAACAATCACAAAACTCCCATAAAACAAGTCAAATCAAAGAATTTCAGTCAAAATGCAAACGTTCCTAACTAAACACAAAGATATTAGGAGGTATAAGAGCATGGAAATGATATTTACAGAAAATGAATTAGGAGGTATGAAATATAATACAAAAATCCGAATTTGAGCATGACATATATAAGGATTTTAGGAGGTATTGAATGTGTCCAATGCAATGATGTCTACAGAAAATCTATCACATGCAAATGATATAATGCAAAAATCCGAATTTGAAGCAACCCAGGTAATACTCTTTTACGTTCTTTCGGACCAAAACCTGAATTACCACCACACCAGTAGCAGCTTGACATAAAAAGAAAAAAATTTCTTCCGTTGCCGGGACTTGAACCAGGGTCTCTCGGGTGAGAGCCGAGTATCCTAACCAACTAGACTACAACGGAGATGTTAGCAAACAACGATATTCTAATTAAATATTAAAACATACTTCGTATGTTAAACTTGTTTAATAATCTCTTATAAATAAAATAAATAATTCCAAATATATAATCAACATAAAATCAGTGGATGAAAATGTGACCTAAGTAACTTTAGTGACTATAATTGTATTTAAATGTTACATGCTAGTGACTATAAGCATATATATAGTAACTTATAGTCACATTTTTGTCAATCCATAGATGTTTTGTTAGCAATATTTTTGGAAAAACTTCTTTAGAAAATCTAAATTGTTATAGTATAGTCATATTGTTATTTAAATTTAAAAAATGAACATAAGATATTATAACCAAGTTACTATTATAGTCCCTCGCTTAGGAGATCGATCACATTTTTGTGAAGAACATTTATTTTAGTCATATATAGATAATTATTTTTTATGGGAAATCTCATAAGAATTGTACTCCATCTCTTATAATTTTACCATCTTTCATTTTAAAATTTTCCTAAAAATTTTATCATTCATTTTTTTAATCAATGAATTTGTGGTTCCTATTATTTTTCTCTCCTTTGCACAAAAAATAATACTCCTCGCGATGGTTAAAAATTGACAAAGATTTAAGGAAGATACTGATCAACCACTCATCCAACCATGGTTCTCATTGATGAATGAAAGGCCTTTTTATTCCAATATAACTAGAATGAATGAAAAAGACAAAAATGTGACCTCTTTTGATTTTTTCCATAAAATTGACTAAGTCATTTATTATTTGTATTTTATCATACATTTATTATTTTAATATGCCTTTTATATATTTGATTAAAATTCATATTGTGCGGCCACCAGCACCTCCGTGGCCGCCCCGCCACCGGCATCGCAGCCGTCGGTCACTATCTCAGTGACTCCGATCAAAGTGACTCCGGCCGTCACAGTGATTCCGCCATCACAGTGACTCTACCGTCACAGTGACTCCGCCCGCTAGTGACTGCCTGTCTACCGGTCATAGTGACACCGGACAAAGTAACTGCCCGCCAACTCGTTCACTGCCGCCACTTTCCGGCCATCCCTCCCCAGCCCCAACCCCCTCCATAGGCCCCCTAACACCCTCTAGCCCCGCCCCAGACCTGCCCCTAACAACCTACCAAGCTTCAACTCCGACCATCCGCCCCGTTCCAACCCCCCA